CAGAAGACTGGAGGTAGGCTTAGATCCCATTGGTCAGTTAAATAATGCAATGACATATCTTTGTTTCTCAGGAACATGTAAGAGTGAGTCACTTGACAATCTCACACATCAGGGCTTGTTAATGAACTGATGAGCACATTGTTTTGCTCTGTCATCATGTATCATTGCACAAGACTGTCAAGATGCCATTACCAAATGGAGCAGCACATCCTCCCGTTGCTAACTGGGTTTAAAATCTTATGAATCAGCAGGCGAAATGCTGCTCTCAATTATACTAGCCTGAAAGAGTCTTAATCTGCCCATGTAAGTTTTGCTTTCCATGAAATGGTGCTACTCTAGGCAATCACCTGTGTTATTGGCAGTATGGTGTGTTAGAAGGTCTACTTGTATGCCTTGTGGCACTGAGGTCACATTGACACATTGTATACATGTGCAACTGTGATAATTCTGTTCAACTAGGGATGGGTTGACAACAAGGGGGTTGGTTGGATCAAGATTACCTTTTATACAATCTCCAAAGTTCAGGAGGTGAAGATAAATTATTCTAGTTTGGGCCCATTTCTTTAAAGAGTAAAACTGGGAGTGATTATATTTTCACAAAACCTCTTGATAAGATTTTGCTTTGATAAAATAAAAACAGTGTGGTTCCATGTCCCATTTTATATTATTACTATTAAGTATTAATTATTTGTATTACTGCAGCACCTGTAAGCCCCAACTGAGATCAGGTATCTATTGAGTTAAGGACTTCACAAACACATAGTAAGAGACTGACCAGGTTTTTGCCCACCTGAACCCCTGGGGTATTTACTGAGGCAGCTAGCTCAAGCTAACACCTGTGCTATCTACATTGCTATTTTTAGCACACTAGCTTGAGCAGAGCTAGCAGGGGTATGTCTGCATGAGCTAGAAATTGTACCTTCCAGCTCAAATGCAGGTGTACGAACGGAGTATCAGTACTGGCTGTGCTGCAGTGGCATTCCCACGGATGCTGGTGCACAAAAAAGGAAGAAAGCAAACAAGCCATTTTAACTCCAAGCTTCTAAAATGGTATCACATACACTGGAGAGGGAGGGAGAGAGAGAGAGAGAGAGAGAGCTGTTTAAAGCAGCTGAAGGGGTTGGAATGTTAAATGAATCCCAGAGGAGTTAGATTAGTGTGCAGGTGGTGCAGTCATCGGTATGTGATAAATTCCACTGGCGTATGTTAAGTTTATTTATGACATATCTGTACTGTATATGACATGTACATTACCTCCATATCAGCCAAGTGCAATTTTGATAGGAAATTCCATATTTTGTGGAGGAGGAAGACAGATTTTGGGAGCAGGTTGATTTTCTTTATTGGTAGCTGTTTGAAGCGGCTGCTTAGAAATTTGGACTGGCAGAGTAAGTTTTGAGGGGCTGGTTTAGAAGGCAGAGAACAGATTAGGTGCTTAAGCAGGCATGATAAATACATTTATCACATGGGCTCTGCAATGTGTGCCTATAGGTGAGGGGAGGTATATGTAAAAACACCGAATGACAAAACTCTCACTGACATCAATATGGCTAGGATTTTTGTATGCACGCACTTTCTAAAAAAACTTAATTTCCTTAAAGGACAGTAAATTTGGGGGACCTAAATAGGTTGATAGTATCCCTTTAAATGAATAAATTCCTTTTTATTTACAGCTTTGTTTTGTAGTATGGCTGCTGATGAGCACTACTATGCATTTATTTATGTAGGGCCAGAATCTGCCACCCTTACTTATGCCCTCAACCATATCCTCTCTCCTCCACCTGTGCTATTGATTTCATTGGGACTAGTGGATAAGAAAGGCTTACTCAGCATAAGTAAGCAAGGCAGAATCTGTCCTTAATTAATTATTTGCTTGTAATAAGTGGCTCTCTGAGGCTCTAAATGCTTGTACAAACATTATGGATACAAAACTAAGAATTAATAATTAGCTGTCTACATCTAAGAAGGTACAGCTGTGTGTTTGATTCAAAGATAATAGTTGGCCCTTCTCTCTCCTACAATAATGCATACTTTTGCTTTGACAGTTTCATGTGTTTTGCACTTTTTTATATATATTTTTCCCCTTCCCATATTATTTAATCTTAATACATCTGGTTTTCCATGTCTCCATGCAGTTGCCAGTTTACATTTTTTGTCTTCCCCCTTAACCTCATCAACTCTCCCCCTGGCTTTTTGCTTCATATTTAATCTATTCACCACATCACCTTTTCTGCTGAGCATTGCATAAAATATTTGTTATGAGTCACTTGCTCTGGCTGGAAATGTGCAGGAGCTTGGTACTTAGATTTCTGTTAAACAGCCCAGATTTAATTTGATGGAGAACTCTGGCCTATATTGTAGCTGGCCCCTGCATGAGTGGATAGAGAAGAAGTGTGCAAGAAGTTTCCATCTCTTGTTCCCCTTATCTAAAGTGCATCGAAGTCAATAGATATTGGATCAAGCCCACAGTCCCTGTGTTCTCCTAATTTTACAGTGGCAATAGGATGCTGTGAAGTACTGGGGAAATGGAAAATGCCATTCTGTGAGTGAGACTACCACATCCAATTAATTTTGCTTCATATTGTTCCTCCTATACGAATGCCTGAGAAGCCCCAGGCTTCACTTGCCTCCTAATGAATAAACAAGTGTGTTTACTTCTTTCTGTAACTGAATCATTTCTCACATATAAGGAGCTCGCCCACACATGCTTCCTTTTAGAAGCAGGAGTGTTAATTAGACATCCAAAAGCAGAATATCCCCAACCCCTATTAAAGAAAAAAAAAGCAGTGTGTGCCAGACACAAGCCGGAAATAAGAGCAACAAAAAGTTTAATCACAGAACTGTGAATCCCAAATCCTGCTGTTATTTACACCAGCGTGTATCCAAAGTATTTCCATTGACTTCCATGGTTTACAGCATTGTAACTGTGAGCCAACTTTGACCCAGTTCCTGCTAAGGATCTGATATACTCTGAAAATTAAGAAATAAAAAACATAAGATTGCAATGGCTTCTGACTTGTATTCAGAGTTTGCAATACAAATAATACTTTACTTTGCACTTCCATAGCATTTTTCATTTCGATGTGCTTTCTACAAGTGTGGTGGGTGTCATGACTAAGTCTAAATGGGTAGCTGATTGTATTTCACCTTGGTATGACCTTGGTTGGCCTGAAATGAGGCTGTGCTTCTGATGCAACCAAAAGCACTGACTAGAACATTCAGAGGGCAGTATTTATACCCCAAAAGAGATAGTGCACCATGGTCAATAGGGGTCTGGCTACTGGGCTCCCACTATCCTCAAGCATAAAAAACTCAGCAGTTAGAATCCTGTTGGAATGATATGTTCAGAGAAGCAGAACTACAGGTAAATAATTTTATTTAGCAGGTGCCATGGTAATGATGGTCACACTTACTGTGTAATTATCTGTAAGTATTCAGCCTTTGCTAGTAGTCTGATTTCCAGTTGATCTACTGAACACCTGTTTTCAAGTTCCTCAGTGTTTCCCAGGATACCAGTGTCCTCAATTCTGGGTTACATCAGCAGACCTATGCTGAGAGTGCTCCATCTTAGAATAATGTTTCATATAACACAATGTTGACTCATAAAGTAGCTTAAAAAGATGTATAAATGTCAGAAGACTCAATTGGTGATAAAAAAACTCACTCAAGGTGCAAATAACCTGTAGAGACAACCTGTGAATGGAATAAATAATAAGGTGTTTGAAAACACACTATGGTGAGTCCCGATAGGCGAAGGTGTTCTAAATTTAGGTCAGCTTTCTCCATACTCCTGCTGTTAAAGGCTGACTAGCTCATAAAAAAAGTTTCCTGCAAATGAAAGAAGTTGCAGAATGGACAGTAATCTGAGCTTGGAGGGAAGGGAAAGCAATATAAAAGCAAAATTACTGTCTGATCAATTATGTGAGGGTAAGGCTTGTGAAAGCTACAAAACAATTCATTCTATCCCACACGTATCTTAACAGAGCAAGTTCATTTTCTACAATGAGGGAACTAATTTTGTGAAGTGATCAAGTTGGTGCCATGTGTTACTCTACATATTTTATAGCAATGTCTTTTGGATGAAAGAGAACACTAGGGCATCTGAATTAGGAGTGGGTTTAATTAGGACCTGCTATGTATTTCTACAATGTCCATCATAAGGCTATCTGAATGCCTTTCTCTGAAAAAAAATGACATTTTACTAAAACAGAAGGGTCATTTTGGATCTAATAAAGTTCTGATCCAAAGCCCATTTAAGGCAATGGAAAGATTCCAGTTGACTTTGGTGGGAATTGGGCCTGATCTACACCAGAAAATTAGGTCATTTAACTACATCAGTCAGGGGTGTGGAAAATCCACACGACTGAGTGGCATTGTTAAGCCAACCTAAGTCCCTACGTAGACAGCACTAGGTCGATGGAATAATTCTTCTGTCGCCCCAGCTACCGCCTTTTGGGGAGGTGGATTGCCTATGCCAGTGGGAGAATCTTTCCCGTCAGTGCAGGTAATGTCTGCATTGAAGTACTACAGCAGTGTAGCTACAGTGGCACAGGTATGCTGGTGTAGCATTTGAAGTGTAGACACACCCTTGGATCAGGCCCTAAATGAAAATGCTGCATAACCTGACTGTCAATTTTATGAAATGTCAATATTATCTTTTTTAGACTTCAGCTATGCGTATTAAGGAAATTTGCCAGCAGAGAAGGTTTAAAAGTATTTACTTATCTGCTTCACAGAGATCTAATGTTTACAAAGTACTCTGCAGATTAAAAGTTCTACGTATTATTAATGGATGCTGAGTGTTTGTGATGAAAATGTGCATTGGGCCCATTGTGTATGAGTCTCTGTTGGATGTATCAAGTGGTTAAAAATAACATCTTCATGCCAATATTGAAATTCATATTCTCAAGCATACCCTTTTCCTCCATCACTAAATATTGGTATGTGCATCTATATTTGGGATGTTCTTTAAGCAATCAAGTACTTTTCTTGTATCACAGGAAATCCCGTGGGCAGAAGAAGAGAGATGAATAACAAAGTGAGAACAAGGTCAAAATCGTTAATGCACATTCTTACAAAGTATAAATGTTCTAATTATCTAACAAAACAGGTGCAGCACAGGCTATGGCAGTGCCAGCATCCCTAAACTGCCCAGTCAAGTGCCTCAATCCTAAATGGGTCCAATTGCCTTGAGGGATGAGAGAGTAGTTCATTTTCCATGACTAGCCAAATCTCTGGCTTCTCTGCTGAGATGGCCAGAAAGGATGATTTGTGTTGTGGGCACCTGTCAACAAGTAATTGGATTCAGTTTACATAATCTACTAAACAGCTATCAGACAGTAATGATTTTGGGTCAGTACCCTCTTGGATCAGATTGAATAGGTAAGGTAGATGTAAAAGACTACATATGCTGTTCTACCCCATTGTCCTGAGCCATCCAATCCTTCATTCCACTGATTTTATCATTTTAAAAAGAACAGCAGAAAAAGAAAGTTAATGTACTGTGATCAAATATGAGCATGAATCTGTTTGTTGCCAAACTGTGTTTACTGGAAGTCATTTTGCTTTTGACTTTCTCTCTGACCTAAATAAAAACATTTACAAAACCCTACTAACCTTGAAGAAAGTGTAAATGTCAAGAGCATAGTTGTGATTATTAACTGGTTTTCTGCTGACATCAATTCAGTAAGCTTCCGCATTTGGAAAAAAAATAATAATCTGCCTTTCTATATGCAACATAAATATTTCCATTACCTCTTCAAAAGAAAATCTGCTAAGAGGCTGTTATATACGTAACAACAGCTTGCCTCAGGTAAAGAATTCTTTAATGCCTTAATTTAAGCCAGTGACACTGCACAAATACTGTGAGAATCTCAAGGTTATTCAGGTCTGCTTATGTCACTGAAATGAGTGACACGATTGGGGAGGATAAAACACCTCCTAATCAGAGTACAGTGGTATCGTAATTCAAAAGCCCAAGCATCTGGTCCCTTGGTAGACTGGTGACATCTTTAGACTTTTGTTGATTGATCTCTAGAGCTTATGAATCTTTCATTTTTTCCTAAATGGCTTTCTTTCAGGGTTTTCTTTGAAGTCAAGGTACCACCTATAGTTGTCTGCAAAACATTATTAAAATTATTGTATTTTCATTGCTAAAAAGAATATTAAAAGGAAGCTTTATAAATATGAATCTGAAATACTGCATGTGTCCTTCTGAAGCAGTTTGAAATTTGCTCAAGTTAAAATTGCATATAAATTTGCCATTGTGCCCTATTATTCTTACTTATTTGTCTTGTGGTAGCACATATTCTGCCCCAATCAGAGACAAAGACCTTATTGTGCTAGGCATTGTAAACACACATTACAAAAAGATGGTCTTTGACTCACAAAGATTAGGCCCACATCCTCAAAATATTTTGGCTTCCAACTTCCATTGATTTCAATGGAAGTTAGGACTCTATGCACCTTTGAGAATTTGGCCCTTACTACCTAAATAATAGATTATAAATTATTCTTATTTCCTTATTTTTCTGAATATACTGATTTTAATAACAATCTTTGTTCAGAAAAAGTGTTGAAAATAGTGTGATGGTTTCCAGCTTTTTGTAAATTGAGGAGAAACTTAAAGCTGCATGCTCTATTTCTTCTCCTTGGCTGGCTTCCAAAATTGAACAGTTTGCTGCTCAGAGACAACTATCTGTAGGCCCCTTTGATTGATGTTCCCTTACTGATTGATATTTGTGGCCAGCTTCTGGAAAGGGCAGAGCAGTTTTTTCCCCTCCACAGCTCCAGTGATTGCATGAGCAGTTTGGGTATTAGCACATGCGAATGACTATTTGGATATCTAACTTGGGTTGCCAGGTGTCCAGTTTTCAACTGGAATGCCTGGTCGAAAAGGGACTTTGGCAGCTCCAGTCAGCACCGCTGACTGAGCCGTTAAAGGTCCAGTTGGCGGTTCAGCACGGCTAAGGCAGGCTCCCTGCCTGCCCTGGCTCCACCCAGCTCCTGGAAGTGGCCAGCATTTCCCTTTGGCTCCTAGGTGGAGGGGTGGCCAGGGAAGTGCCGTGTGCTGCCTCCACCCTCAGAGCCGCCTCCACAACTCCAGTTGACCAGGAGCCACGGCCAATGGGGGCTGCAGGGGCAGTGCTTGTGGGCAGCATACACTGCACAGAGCTGCCTGGCCATGCCTCCATCTAGCCGCATTGGGGAACAGCTTGGAGCCAGGGCAGACAGGGGGCCTGCCTTAGCCCCGCTGTGCCGCCGACCAGGAGCCACCTGAGGGAAGCACTGCCTGGCCGGAGCCCACACCCTGAACACCTTGCCCCAGGTCAAAAGCCCATCCTACACCCAAACTCCATCCTGGAGCCCTCACCCCAAACCCTCTGCCCCAGCCCCAAACCCTCTCCTGCACTCCTAACCCCTCGGCCCTAGGCCAGAGCTGCCTCCTGCACCCCAAGCCCCGCATCCCCGGTCCCACTGCAGAGTCCACACACCCTGCCTCAACCCTGAGCCCACTCCAACACCCCAACCCCCTGACCCAGCCTGGAGTCCCCACCTGCACCCCAAACCTCTCATCTTCAGCCTGAGTCCACACCTCCCACCCCCAGCCGTCACCCCCTCCTGAACCCATAACCCCTCATTTCTGGTCCCATCCCGGAGCCTGCACCTCCAGCTGGAGCCCTCATTCCCCCCGCATTCCACCCCCCTGCCCCAGCCCAGTGAAAGTGAGTGAGAGTGGGGGAAAGCAAGCGACAGAGGGAGGGGGGCTGGAGTGAGTGTGGGGTGGGGTCTCCGAGAGAGGGGAGGGCCGGGGCAGGGCCTTGGGGAAGGGGGAAAAAGAGGGAGGGACAAGGGTGTTCGATTTTGTTCAATTAGAAAGTTGGCAACCCTACATCTTACAAAGCATTTGTGTTTACAAATTCTGGATTGTGCAAGTGCCCTGGATTTCTGCTCTTTGAAAATCTGTCCCTAAATCATCTGGGAAAGAATATCACTGAGTGTACAGCTGATCACATGCTGAGTGACACCTCAGAGCCTGATCACCATATTTAGCAATCACAGACCTTGTTCCTATGAAAGGGTTAGGAGCAGAATGTGGGTGCTGAAAAGGGGACAGGTAGTAGCCTCGGTGTCTGTCTAGCCAGGGAAGCCTATGGCATCGGTGAACCAGCAGCTGCCAAAACTCCTTCCAGTTGGATGGAACTTTTAGCACTTTCTGAATGGTTAAGTCGGTGCTACTTGCATGTAAGCACTCATTGTGCATGTGTGTGTATTTTAAATGTAGGTCAGTATGGGTGCAATGCATAAGTGTGGCAATTTTGCCACAGCAGTTGGTAGTTCTATTTGTTTCTACTTGGAAACTGAGCTCTTTAAGCAAGAGATAGAAAGAAAGATTAAAATACAATGGCAAAGTCTACCCTGGTCTCAGCTGGAAACTAAAGGACTCTGTAAAGTGACTCCATTCCACTTTATTTTCCATGAGAGACAATCACTACAAAATCATGAAAAATTACATTTGATTGATTTACTCTGGAACTGGTGACTTAAATCAGTGAACCTAAGTTCTAAATATTAAACAGCAACAGATTCCCAGCCTGTTCTTTGAGTATGCAGTATATCACAATGAATTGTTCAGAGGGAAGAGGGCCCACTAATGCATTGTTTTGATAAACAAGGGAATACACTTTAACATGTTTGATAGAATCTTTTGTTCTAAAACTGATATTAAATTCTTTAGAAGTACAGCTCAAAACAAAGTATTATTTATAAAAGCCACTTCTTGATACAGCTGGATATGTTGTGACAAGCAATTAACAGGACTCTTACAAAGCTCTGGAGATGTTTTTCAGACCTAGCTTTATTATAGGTGATTTTTTTCATCCCATGTTATAGGGGATTCAGTTAATGGGATTTGTGCATGTAAATCCCCAGCAATGAGATGGAAATGTTACCCCAATGTATTAACTATTCTGTGTGTTCATTATCACAAGTGCCCCTGAGGGCAAAGCCAGCATTTGCAATATTCAATCCTTTTTCAGGGGTTTAGAGCTAGAACTTGGAAAACAAAATCTCAGAGGTTTTTTTTTTTAAAAAAAGGTGTTTGAAACAACCCATAGTTTTTCTGATGTAGTCGTGGAAGCTGGAACACTTGAGACATTTAGAACTAGATGAGAAAAGACACTTGAAAATGTTCTATAGAGAACAATGCCACAATGACAGAGGATTGGACAAAATGTGACTTAATGAGATTAATTTTTTATTGAAATGGGGAAAAAAAAGGAGATGGATTCTGACTATTCTTTCAAAGTTGGGAAATGTCTTGTTTCTTCCAATTTTAACTTTGTTGTTTATCAAACCATACATGAATATTGTATATAGATGACTCAAGGATGGTCAAAGATTAATATCTGAAATTGGCTACCGGATTTGCATTGCAGTTTCTTAGGAGGCAGTCAGTGCCTGTATTTACATAAATTGGTGTGGGCAGCTCAGGGTTCAAATATGGTTCCCTAAATCTGCACCTAGGCACCTCTATAAGAACTTAAGCATCTAAATGGGCCTATTTTCTGACAGACTCAAACCAACCCACAGAGAAATATTTGATGCACACACACATAAAGTAGAATGACAGATGGGAAGTTCTCACTACACAGCCAAGAGGGTAAGTAGCTACGGGAGAGTTTTCCTGCTTTTGTAACAGGGGGACCTGTGCTTTAACTCCTGCACATATCCATGGGGATCTCCTCAGCCGTCTCCACCTCCTCCTTCCCCTTGTACTGTTATCATTCTTGGGATTTTTTGGCCACCTGCACTACCTCATATCTTTGAGGGGTGTTGAATAGCTGTTTGCTCCATCTTCCATCATCAGGGTCCCACTAGGTAAGGTCAATATTGCCACAAATCCCAAGAGTCTTGGCAGGGAGTTAGGAAGTAGCCCCGGAACACCTCTTCTCCCCGCCCCCCACATACCGAAGGAAGAGGGGGAAGAAAAAACTCCTTCTCCTATCCCTGCAAGCTCTGCACTAAACCCTAAGTGCAGATAGAGCTCCATAAAAAATAACACATGGATCTCTGCCTGGCTTCATTCCTGCTGTTGCGGAGAATGGGAATGCTGCAGTTGGGGGTTTAGAGACTGATTAGGGGGCCTGAGCTTGTCCTCTTTCATCCTGACATATACCTTCATATAATGAAGCATGAAATCCTGTGGTTGCCTGCCTTTGTCATTACATCCATTTCTCATCACATGAATTCTTGCCCAGGTTGCTGAATAAGTATATTTTAAAGACTAAGAATATAAGGTTATCTCTTGATCTATGTATTTAAACCACACTCCTCTGAATAGTATCTGAACACCTCCCAGCATGGTATCTTACTCCTTCTTACCATGTCTGAAATACATGGTAATTTGCTAGAACATCATGCAATCCACAATGTCACTTAGAGGTGATGTGTTTTCATTATAAAATAGAGGAAGTGTACAATCTTCCCGAAGTACATAGCTGTTAAGGGTCAAATTCTTAGCTGATGGAAATAGGTGTTGTTCCATTGAAGTCAGTGGAGATGTGTCTGTTTACCCTACCCTCGATCTCAAAACCTTTACAAAGGAGTGTAAATAGTATTACCCCAGTTTTATAAATGGGAAAACTGAGGCACTGGACAACTTACACATGGCCACACATTAAGTCACTATCAGAGTTGATAGCAGAACCTAATTCTGATAGCTTCCAATCCCCTGCTGTTACTGGACTGCTTCCTACAGATATGTGATCTGCCTGGGATTGTTTGCAAATTCATGCAGACAACTGGTATAAACTATATTGGCAAACTTGCATCTATGCTAGAAGGGTTTGCCACCATAGCTATACTAACAAAACTTTTCTTGTATAGACTAGGCCTAAGAGTCACAACTGCCAGACTGCTACTCTAACTAATTAGACCATACCATCAGTGTAAGATTCAGTGTGTGCCTTGGTGTGGGGAGTGACTTTATACTAGA